CTTTTCTTTTTTCTTGTCTTGCTTCTTCTGTTTCCTGCTCTCTGCTTGTTTCTTCTTTTTCCTGCTTGCTATCCTGTTATGAAGAAACCTAGCGCCAACCTAGCGCCAATCTAGCGCTGCCTTGCTGTATCACCATATTCTGCCGGGGGGCCGCTTCTAAACGAAAACTTAAAAACACATCTACAGCCTTCAAAGTTTATGTTTATCTATATTTTTTGAGTAGGGCTTTTTGAGCGCAGTCCATGTGTTGTCCTGTTTGTGCAGCTGATTCTTGGAGCAGTTCCCCTGGTCTACTAATTATTGTGTTTGGTTTGGTTTGGTGTGATTTGTATAAGATTTAGACTTCCTCTCATCTTGGGGGTTCTCGGCCCTGAAAAAGAACCAGTTGAACATGGCTTGTGTTTGTTTCTGCTCAAATTGGACCCTCCCGCCATGGACCGCCATTGCGCGGTCCGCGCCCGTCCTGCATGAAGTTGGTGGATCTGGGGCCTTTTGCCAACATGATCTCCTGAAGACCGAAGACCGGAAGAGTGGGCCATGGGGTTAGCGGGTCCGATGTCTTCTTTTGTTTGGAGGGAGTGGGTTACTTAAGGTATTGCAAAACTCGATGTGATCTGGAAGTCGAAGGGCTATATTCATAGTTTGAATATTTATACGTTTTGAGCAGTGTAAGTAATGTTAAGTTATACAATAGGCACCACTGACATCATGTCATACTGAATATCATCGAACAACAATCGTAAGCTCAAAGCAATGCAAGTAATGAGTTAAAATACACCACACATCACTAACATCATTTGACCTTGAACGAACTTAGCTCCTATGAATGTGTTTAAGACATTATCAATGTCGTTCACCTTTTGGAGTGATGGGAGTGTTCGCAGGCAAATGGAAGACCATTTTGCCACTCACCAGATGGTCAGCCCACACTGGGCTGTAGACTTCGCCTTTCCCCCAGTGAGCACCAAGCAGAAGGTGGTCGTACCAAAAGCCACGGGCTCCTTTGAAAAGCAGGCGTGAGGCCATACGCAACTAAGCAGAGATTAACCCTATAGTTACTAGAAGCCAAAATCATAAATCCCTAAACATGACTACAGTATAGAGTGTTGATCAATGAGCGCCTTCAAATAAACAGTAGCAACATTATCAACAAAGCCAAAAATACCCGTGTCATCCTTTTTCTTCATGTTCTAACTTGCTCCAGCATGGTTGTAGTCCCTGGTGCACAGTGCCATGGATCTAGTTGGTGCTCCACCAAGCCTCTTGTGCGTGAAGTTGTAAATTCCATCATCTTTGATGATACTGATTCGATTCTTGAGGTTCAAAGACAGATTGCCACTTGCTGCTTCTATGCTCCTTGCTTTCATTGGGCTTTTTGTTTGGCCCACTCCAAGGCCAAGATCCGTCGGATGAGCTACAGCTTTCGCTCTGCAGAAATGCGACGCTTTCGAAGCACATGTGGCTTTCTGTTGGACAGATTTGGACAGAATCATCCAGAATCTATATACCCCTCTTGATCCCTCTTGGCAATCTTGAAGACTGCTATAAATCGCCACTTGGAATCGCTGAAGACTTGCCTTCTTCGGTTCGGATCGGCAGATCTGCTGATCTTGATCCGTGGAAACTGCTGACACCACGGTGGTGTCATTTGTCAATGACTTCCAGCTTTGGTGGCTCACCTCCTCTGGCTTCAAGTTCACGAACTTCCAAACAGCTAGCCCCTTCTCCATCATGGCCGTGATGCAAGGAAAACAGTACACTCAAGCAATCTGTTTACCCGTTCTGGCCGACCCAAATCTTCCAAACAAATCCATTCGATTCACGAGACCCAATCCCCCCGAGTCTGTCCAGCTTGTCAGTCTTCTTCTCCAAGCAAATGGTGAGTTCACCTGGATGCTCACCACGTGACGTCGAACAAACCATCACCCGCACTCGGTCCGCATGACCCGAATGTTCCGCGGGAAATGCATCGGTTGAGCTGATGGAGCACAGAACATCATGGAGTCCACGCTGTCCTGATCGAACCGTGAGAATGTAGGTGAAAAATGCTGTGATATGCTGTGATCGCGTTTGGAAACCCCAATTCACAAGCCTCTAATTTCAGGAACCCTCAAACAGAACCCCTTCGTTTTGTATTCAATCGTCCTCCACCAAGCGAACTTGTAGACAGAATATCACCCTTGTCCATCCTTGTCCCACTCGAATTGTTCAGCAAGAACTTCTGCGCTGAGTCTCAATGAACCCCTAAGACTTTGTCACGTGGCATCTCATATCGTTCACTTCACTAAGAACCTCTTCAAGAGGTTCGACTTTGAGAGCAAACCGCATGGTTACGTTCGTTGCTCTCCCTCAGGGTGTCGAGCAAAAGAATCTTCCAGGGGCCCATGCCATCCACGGAATATTTCAGAACAGCCATTGTTTTGTCAAAGAGTTTTACACGAACGGCCGTTGTTTCGCCCGGACCACGCCGCATGCCCGAAGCTCCTAGCCTACAACACGGTCGGTCAAACATTGTTGTTGGTGGTCTTTGAGGGCTAGGTCACCTAGGTCTTCGTCAGAGATGTTCGTCCATTTCCAGTCCTCTCGAAAGGGCTTCTAACATCGACCGGAAAGGCGAACCCACCTCCAGAGATGTGAATGAAGTTGAAGGAGTGATACGTGAGCCAGCCACGAGGCAGGTGCGACCAATCCTTGCCACTTTCGGTGTTTTTTGCAGCCTTTTCGGGTGCCTTTTTGGTTTTGGGGTGGGAGAGGTCAACAAACCCTGATGCCACTTGAAGCTGGGGGCTCCCTGAAGGTCAATGGGTTCGCATGAATTTGGAACAAATGAAATCATGATCCAATAACTCGAGCAAATGCCAATGTATTAAATGTTTTGAGGGTCAGCAAATGAAAACGACTGGATGTTATCTTTCCCAGACCCTGATGCCTTCAGAAACCCAAAAACTTGCTTGGCGAACCTTCCTCTGTCTGCATGTCATTGGATGGGTTGAAGCAAGGGGGGGGTCAGGTGAATCCTCCAAAGACGAACACTTCAACACAAACACAACCTCAATCCACTGGTGCCTGGCAAACTCGTCTACACATCCAAAAATGAGATGTTGTGTTTCTTTGTTTTTCCATTCATCCCTCCAACATTTCTCCAACACCAGACTTAGATTACGTGGTTCATGGATCCCCTTCCAGAGTCTACTCAAGACAACAAAATAAGATGTGGCCGCGCCAGTTCACCATGATGTGTTTTTCCTTCTTCAATTTGAACCTGCGAATCTCTGGCGCGTTCGCTCTCTCTCTCTCTCTCTTCTCTCTCTCTTTCTCTTTCTTTTTAGACCACCCACCCGGCCTTCGAAAAACACGGACACGGACGGATGCTTTTTTGTTCTCGAACCAAAGACAGGCACGATTGAACGACAGAGCCCCTGCCTGACGGAACTCGGTGAAGCCCGTGACCAGCTTATTGAGCTGTCCCCTGGTTGTCCGACAAGAGGCTGACCGCGTGGCCGAAGAACGAGCGAACACTGTGATTTGGGGACATGTCCTGCTTTTTGGGGTGGTACCGAAGTCAGAAGTTTACATGTTGAACTTTCACCTTCTGCCGGAGGACGGGAAGAAAGGGGGAGAGTCAAACGGTTGGATTCACCACGATACCGGTATCGTGATCCTCGCTTCGTCCCCGCTTCTTTTGGCAAACACTGAATCCAGACTAACATCTCTAACGCATTGGCTGTATTGGCTGTTTTGTCTGAGTCAAGGCAAATCATCCTATAGAGTATCCTAATGTATTATAAAGCTTTATACATATACATTTACTACGATTTACTAAGATAGGATGCACTCCTCACTCCTCACAAAAAAAACAAGACAAAAACTGCACACCAACGGTATCCAATGGTCACCAACTTCTCAAACCCGAGCAGTCTCGGCACAACCTTCGTGGGAAAAATCGATCACCCAAAGCCAGGGTGACAGGAAGAGGAATATCAATGAACCACGAGTCATCAAGAAAAGCTTCGATCATAAAATATAAGTTGTCTACCAAGCAAGGCTAGCTGTCGGGCTTGGGGACCTCCCCCTAGCTCCGAACCGCTCCAAACCCTGTTTATAATTGTTTATAGAGATACCTCCGGCTCCAAATCGCTGTTTTGTGGCTCGCACCAGCCATACATGTATATACATGTACTAAGCCGCTCCGCCCGAACCAGAACGAAGCGTCGGGTCTCGGTCTCGGTCCAAGCAGCGACACGACGCGGTCCGGTGGACTGGCCAAGCGCAGTAAGGTGGTCTTCACCTCGGGTACTCAATCCACCTCATCCTTTGAATCGATTCGAGGTTCCTCTATCAGGAGTCACAGAGCTCGGGGTGCCGAACTTGGAATATATAGGGTGCATATATGACCCACTGAGGCTACACATATATACTTTTAACCTTATTTAATACTGGTTGATAACCTTTAACTTGGTCGGTAGCAACTAACATTTTTTCTGACATGGATCCTACGTCTGGGTGTCCCAGATATATAAACTACACAAGTTTGGACACCTGATCAAACATTTCTGCTCCAGGTGGTTTTGGGAGATGAAATGAGGCGAAATGACGGACCCACAACACTCACAGCAACCAACGTCTTCAGCGACCGACAGAAGAGTAACATCACGAAAAGTCGGGGACACAACGACCCATGGGACATGAACATCGTTCCTCAGCTCGCTCCCAAGAGCCGAACCAGAACTCACAGGACCCGATTGTAGACGTGCGTCGTTAAAGTCCCTTAAATCAAGATGCTCCGTTCGTAGCGTTGCTCCTTGCTCCGTTCGTAGTAAGGCCAGGTTCGCCCCGTTCGTAGCGTCCGATCGCTCTGTTCGTAGCGATGCCCTTTGCTCCTAGTAATTTCTGGCTCCTGAAGAATGAAACTTGTCAATATGCTCAGCTGCTCAGCATATCTTTCATTAGCACCCGCTCAAAGTATGCTCAATGAATGGCACAACTCTTCTTGACCCAACTCAACGATTCTTCTTCTCCCTCGCTGCAGTCACAGAGGCCCATTGGTTGTCATCGTCGTCCTTATACTTGAAGTAACCTCAGCCGTCCAGAAAGATCAAAGATCTCGTGCAGGTAGCAACCCTGGCTGAAGACATTAAAACCAAAGCATGGGAGCAGCAGTGCAGTTTTTGCATCTTCTTTGGAGATCTGTTGGCACTTTGCACATTCTCCATCTTCTCCCACCCAAAACGACCGATCCACCGTCTCCGCCGGCGATCTCCACGCTTCGGGTGTCCACCGGGCGGCGCTCGAAGTCGGTCTCTTCGCCCTTCTCGTCCACGTCCTGGCCGACGTCGGTCGCCAGTCGTGGTTGCGGCGCGTTGGGGGGTCTTCCGAAATGGGCTCTTTGGGCCCCCAAAAATATGGAAGTAGGTTTACCCTGTATAATAGATCGGGTTATAGGTAGATTCAATCTCCTCCCCGCCAGGGCAGCTACGCTGTTCCAAAACCAGTTCGCATCTGTGGGCTGAGGCGAACAGCGAATTCTGTGATGGAGAAGGTCTCATCTCTGTAAGAAGCGGTTGTCCATGTCCATGTCGTCAGTGGTTGAAACCTTTTACGCGGCGCGGCTGTTCAAAGATTAAAAAGAACAACAGCTAGCCTATAGCAGCTCCAAAAGACGCAAAAGGAATGGTTTTTAGTCGCTAAGTGGTTGGATAATGGGAACCCGCGAAAGAAAGACTATCGACGCTCAACGCCACACCACACGGGAACTCAGTTTGCCGCGCGGAGACGTGCTGCGCTCAGTTCAGCGTAGCGGAAGCCACGCGAATCGCCAAGACAGAGTCCTCCACGGTGATGCAGACCACCCAGTAGCCCCACCACGTGGCATTCCATCCTGAGCGCTCACTCTCTCGCTGACTCCACGCGTGAACCGCCACGGAGCTCGGCGAACGTCGAACAGCGAGGGTGGGGCGACTCGTCGTCGCTGGAGTGGCTGTGCATCCGGCCCAGTGGAATGTGACCCAGTGAATCCTTAAAGCCCTCCATTCTTCTCCAGGTCCAACCCCTTCCCATTCCAAGCAACTGGATTCATTCTTAGTGGAATGAAGACATCAACTCTGATCGACAACGCCACCAACGCAAAGAATCACTGAGCGAGCGTCTGGCAGGCATAAAGCCACCGCCCTCCCCGCACATGTCGAACATGGCGACAGCGCCGCCCGGGCGGGCTCTTCCGTGATCACGTCAGAGATCAGAATTCAGATGGTCTGGGATGGTCTGGCGCTCCGGTGGGTGAGGCCTTTGGGTCGCCGTGAAGACCGGGGGATAAATGGCTATAGGCTACAACTATGGCGGGTGACTGTAATGTATAGGTGTGGATTTGCTGAGGCAAGATGGCTTATTCATGTTTATTCTGTAGGTAACTAGACCATGCAAATTTCGAAGAGGGAATGAAAAATACAGCGTCTTGGGATATTCAATAGACTCACAACTCAAATCATCTCCGAGTCTCCGTTGGTCTGGGTGTGGTTTCCCAAAAAAGCTCGTATATACTGAACAGGTACTATCCTAGTCGACGTCTTGTCACTTGTCCAATGTATGCTGTCTCTTGATGATGCACGCCGCCTTTTTGGCGCAAAAGAAGCGTTTTTCACGAGGCAAGTCATACAGAAAGCGATCAGATGGACTCAGCAAGACATACGAGATTGACTCACCAGGGAGATGTCTTGGTCAGGGAGAATGGAACACTCTTTTCTTGCTGTACACTCCCTGCAAGAATCATGGAGGTGGATGGCATAGGGTACTGGAAGACCTTGTTTGTGAATACCAAACGGGTGATGTTTGATGACTTGGTGAGGACACACAAATCTTGAAGAATCTCGGGGTGGTCTCTGGTGGTCTATATATTGGATCTTTTGGCCAACTTCCGATCGCATGCTCAATGAGCAACAATGGTGTTTCGGTGGAGGTGGAGCTTTTCAGAGGAACTCTGAAGAGCGGGAAACATCCTAGCGTGCGCTGAGCATGTTGAAGGACCTGACAGATGATGCCCGAGGAGTTCTGACAGTCCGGTCAGAAGTCATCCAGCGCGTTGGCCGGAGTTCACCACCGTCTGAAGAGAATCCCTTTTGAAATTAGCAGTCATATGAGTCATATATGAATCATATCTAGTCACACTGGTGTTCGGCCGCGAGCCATGTGCAACCGAACCACAAACCGGAAGAGACACTTTTAGCCCTTGCAGGATTTGGATCTACACTCTACACATCTATGCTGCATTGTAGGTACTCTGAAGTGGTCTTCAATCCAAAAGGTTGTTAAAGAACACATATAAAAAGGGTCTCACCGGTCTCACCTCCTTATTGAGTCATAGATGCTTCAGCAAAGTAGAATCAACGGCCCAGCCCACCAGCAGCCGGCGAAGTAAACCAAGCAGTGGGAACATGATCCTCCAAGTGTGCGCTTGCAATAGGCTTCCCATTGGAACTTGTTCGTTGCCCCTTCACTGCAGCTTGAACATAACTATGCCAGGTTGAGTAGAACTGTATCCAGTTGTGTTCTTTTTTACTTTTTTTCTACTTTTAAGCAAATTAAATGAAAACCAAATGCAAACCGTTGGAGGGTACTGGTAGATTCTCAAGGAACCATTGCCAGTTTCTTTGCCCAAGCCTACCAAACCCGCGCATTTCAGCGCAAAAGTTTGCCAGAAACTACGTAACAACATGCCACAAAACCACACCTGCCTGCCCAGCCACAAAACAAAAACAACAACATCCGCATTAAAAAAAAAAGTAACACTTCGAACTTGGGTTTTTTTCAGTTAACGCAATTGTCTCGGTGG